TTTTAAAAAATATATTTTTATTGATTTCAGAGAAGAAGGGAGAGGGAGAGAGAGATAGAAACTTCAATGATGAGAGAGAAGCATGGATCGCTGCCTCCTGTACGCCCCACACTGGGGATCGAGCCTGCAACCCAGGCGTGTGCCCCAACCGGGAATCGAACCGTGACCTCCTGGTTCATAGGTTGACGCTTAACCCCTGAGCCACACCAGCTGGGCTCCTGGCATCTCTTCGTGGCTGTGGCTTCCACGCAGGGAAGGGGAGGGGCCGCTGCTAAGGCCACAGAAAAGGGGGGGGCTCCTTTTCTGCCCCCCACCCCCAGGCACCCAGAGCAGAAAGATGAGGCATCGCCTATGCTTTTTCCTTGATGTCCATGCCTTTTATTCATTCCCGCCGTTCTGAACTTGAGTTTTTTCTAAATGGTGTAGGAAGTGGGCTTCTGGCGGTCGCTCCTGACCCCTGCACTGAGCCCGCTTTTCCCTGCGAAGCTCGGGCACCAGAGCCTGGGCAGAGGGGAGGCAAACCCTCGTGGGGTGAGGGCAGGGCTGGAGGCCAGGCCAGGCCCCTGAGCAGGGTGGGCATGGCCCCAAATTTCAGGCCCTGCAGCAGAAGAACGTGGAGTGTGCCCGTGTGTACGCGGAGAATGCCATTCGCAAGAAGAATGAGGGTGTGAACTGGCTGCGCATGGCGTCTCGCGTGGACGCAGTGGCCTCCAAGGTGCAGACAGCTGTGACCATGAAGGGGGTGAGTGTCTGGCCCAGGCCTCATGCCTGTGGGTGCTCCCCCTGCTGGCCACGTCCAGGGGACGAGCTGGGGCTGGAAGGGGTCATGCCAGGGCCCTTTGGGTCTGCGGGGTGGACGGGGGAGTCCCTGAACAGCCAGTGCCTGCCAAGGAGAGCACAGCCCCGGAGCCGGGTGTCCTCGGGCTTTCCCGCGGGCCGCGCCGGTCTCGTGTCCACTGGTGGCGGCGTTTCCTGGGTGCCCGCAGGAGGGCCTGTGCAGCCCGGGGGCTGCCGGCTCGGCAGGGCTGGATCTCACTGGCCTGGGTGGAGGAGGGCTCGGGCCTGTCCCTGGTGGATGTCCCCTCCTCAGTCCTGTTGCCTCCTTACTCCCTCCTGGGCCAGGTGACCAAGAACATGGCGCAGGTGACCAAAGCCCTGGACCGAGCGCTGAGCAGCATGGACCTGCAGAAGGTGTCTGCGGTGATGGACAGGTTCGAGCAGCAGGTGCAGAACCTGGACGTGCACACCTCGGTAGGTCGCCCCTTCCAGGCGGGCGGGCGGCGCGTCGGGAGGGCGGCCTGTGTGGCTGCCCCGCGTTGCTCCCTCCCTGGCGTTGGCAGGTGTCCTCTGTGCTGAGCCCTTGTCAGGGTCCTGACAGCACACGGTGCGAGCACAGGAGGCCTGGGGCAGGGGGGCCCGCGATCTCCAGGCGGGGTGGCCGGAAACACTCCCTGGGTGACACCCGGAGGCTGGAGAGAGTGGGAGTGGGGCGCGAGCAGGAAACGAGATGGTGGCTGTGGTGTGGCCGGGGCCCCTGTGAGGCTGCGGTGGGGGCTCCCCGGCTTGGCCTGACTGCCCAGAGCCCGGCCCCCAGGTGATGGAGGACTCCATGAGCTCGGCCACCACGCTGACCACGCCACAGGAGCAGGTGGACAGCCTCATCGTGCAGATCGCGGAGGAGAACGGCCTGGAGGTGCTGGACCAGCTCAGCCAGCTGCCCGAAGGCGCGTCTGCCGTGGGCGAGAGCTCCGTGCGCAGCCAGGAGGACCAGCTGTCGCGCAGGTGGGTGATGGCTCGAGCTCTGCGGCTGCCTGTGAGGCAAGGGGGCAGGCTCTGGGCTGGCGGCGACTGGGGGACAGGGTGTGACGTGCGGCTTCGGCTGCGGGGCCCCGGTCCTTCTGAGGAGATGCCCGGTTCAGAACCCCCCCACCCCCACCCCCACCCCACCCCGCAGCACGATGCAGGCACCGAGGGAGGTGGCTCCTGCCCAGCTTCCTAAGTTCCTAAGTTTAA